ATTAAAAGGAGTCTATGGGTTGCTTAGGGCTTAAGCATCCAAATTAGGGTTTCCTTGTTAGATAACCCTAATAGCCCAACTATATAAAGACCCCTTAAGGCTCAAAAACGGGCTAAGCTTCTTGTGAGGGTTTACACGTTTTTGGCAGCCTCCAACCTCTCTCCTCTTCATCCTCTTGCTTATGGTGTTTTGTGAACCATTAGAGGGTGACACATGTGACTCTAAGCCTTCCAAAGTCAATTCAAGGAGGAATTGGGATTGTTATTGCTACATAACAATCAAGGTATGATCTTAAACCTAATTACATATTAATATGATTACTTGTATGCTAGAATTAGGGATTATAGTCTTGGATTCAAAGCATGTACAATAGAGAAACCTAGATCCAAGCATTAGGGTTTGTATGAGCACATAGGATGTCTTATGACCAAAACCCATCAGTGGTATCAGAGCCTAACTTGGTTTCAATTGTATTGATGCATTGAATAACTGGAAAATTCGATTTTTTGGATTCTGGAGGCTGGACTCGCCGAGTCCAAGGCTGAACTCGCCGAGTCCATGCAGACTCGACGAGTCCATGCCTGACTCGACGAGTCAACTCGTCAGATAATGCTTATCTCGGGATTTCTTGCTGTTTTGCATATGGATAGTTACCTTATCATGTTAGATCAATATAAATCCGATTTTTTATGATATATATGACTATATTCTTGATCTAATTAAAGATAATTATCAATTAACAAGATAATTTTTCCTTATAAGATAATTGATTAATTATTTTGAGTAAATTGATAAATTGTTTTGCAAGAAATCATTAAACAAATCAAATATGGATAATTATGTAATTAAATGTTAGTTTAGATTATTTGTTATTTGATCCTTGTTGTTATGAAAAGTTTCATATTTTCCCCTTTAGGTTTTATAGTTTAAATTTGAACCCAAAAAGTTTTGAAGTTTTGAAATTTAAATAGTTAAACCCTAATGTTTTGAAATGTTTCAAAACTTGCCCTCAAGTTTTGGAATTTAAAGTTGATTAAAAGTTTAATTAGGAATGTTAAATTCTAAACCCTAGTAATGTTTTGAAAGTTCAAATCAACCCTTATGGTTTTATTAATTAATTAAGGAGTATAATTAAAAGAGGTTTAATAAATCCATAAAAGTTTAGGTTAACCATTTAATTGAATTAAAAGTATAATTGTTAAAGTTAACCATATAGTATTTTAAAAGTATAAAATACACCCTATACTATATATAACATTAAAAGTCTAACATTATATATATGTATGAGTAAAAGTCAGTCTTACCGTTAGTAGGCCTCATTCACGAAGCTGGTCTATAAGGGGTGTTTAAGGAAATTGCCTATAAAATGGCGATTGAATGGGTATCCACTCTTACCCACCGCACTCTTGACTAGTGGAGGGTCGTTAGCCGAACGGGTAGGATAGGACGAAACCTTCCATTATAAGTATAATGAAATACAAAGTAACTAAATGTTTTTCAAATTCCCAATCTTAGTTACTTAGGCAAAAGTGAATTGATGCAATTCCATGAAATTACACTTTGTGCCCTTGCGAAGACGTTAGTGGAGCGTGTGTGGTTTACCGGCACACTAAATGGTTCTAAGCAAAGGTAGCAAAGGGTGACTCAATGTTTGTCATAGTTCGGTGGAGCGTGTGTGGTTTACCGGCACATCGAATAGGTGATTGTAACATGTGAGGGCACCATGTAGTTTGCATGGTTATTCACACCCGCTTTGTGATCCTCGGCATCCCAGTCACAAACAAGAGGGGCATATCGAGATTTAAACATGCCATTGAAAGTTCAATGAATCTCAAAGGATCTAGGAGTTTTCATAGATTTAAAACTTAAATTTTTTTTGTTTTTCATGGTGGAAATTAGTGAATCGTCATTCACTTACCTTCAAATGTTCTGCAATTTGGGTTACGGCATCCCTCTCCCGAGTTGTAGAATATTGTGTTGGGTCCTAGCCTTAGTATTTCATTTGGGTGATTTACTAAGGACTCAATCAATCAACTAACTTGAATTCGTTTTTCTCCCGATGTCAAAGTTCGACAACTATGGTCTTCTCAAATCCCGTGGAACAAGCATTCCACATGAAGATGATATTCCACGATTCGATCGAGGAACAAGAAATCATGCTTCACTTCCTCCTCCTCCTCCAATTATTCTCCCTAACCCACAAGATTGTAAAATTGAAAGGTTCAATATCACTCAAGCCCTTTTGGCAAGTAAACATAAAGAGGGCAAGTCGGTGTGTGCACACGTCTTAGGGATGAAGTCACACATTGATAGATTAAGAATGATGGGATCCATTTTTGGTGAAGAGATGGTTGTTGATTGAGTTCTTCAATCACTTCCTAACTCATATAGTGAGTTCGTAAGAGAGTACTATATGACGAACCGCGACGTGACCCTTATAGATCTCACCTATATGCTTATTGCTGCTGAATCAGCAATGGTTTGGCGCAATAGAAAAGCAAAGTTGATTGGTGAATCTGCCTTCAAGACCTCTATGGATATAGACAATGGCAATGAAAGACATGCAATGATCGAAAAGTTTGATCATAAGAGAAAGGCGATGTCTGAAGTAGTTCCATGTGTTGTTCCAAAAGAGTCAATTTGCTTTTATTGCCAAGAGAAGGGGCATTGGAGACGAAGTTGCCCTATTTACCTAAGAGATCTAAGAGATGGGAGAGTCAAAAGTATGACTACGCTTCAGGTGAAATCCACTATCTAACTCCATTAAGTTCCTATTCATTGATTCTTAATACATGATGTGATAAGATTGCATTTGAATGTTTTGAAGGATCGGTGAAAAGAAAGGAAGCTTGATAAGAGAGCAAGATGAATCTAATCACAAGAGATGGATCTCGATCTCATGGACTTGAAGATTGGATTTTGAGCTTAGATAGTTATGATAGAGTTGTTAGAAATTTTCTTTTACATAGTTTTCAATAGATTTTGCATTGTAAGGACAAATGTTTTTCCGCTGCTTTTATAAATAAAATAAATTTTGACTTATTTATTTATTTGTTTACTTCCTTGCAATGAAATCGTTATGAAAAATTGATGTTTACATATTTCTACAACGAATGGATATGATTCTTAGTTATGTTATTTATGGAAATGTCGAGAATTTACCAAATAGGGAGAGTTTCTCATCGCCTAAAGTTTCAATTGGACTGAAATTTGGAATCACGCAACTTGGTTGCATGATGAATGAGAAATTTCATATTTGGAAATTAGACAAATTCGTTGACAAAGTGTCAAGTGAAGGATTAGGAGATCGAGTACACAAAGTTGTGTGTTGATCAAGTTCACCATAAGAGTAACAAATATATTCGTCATGATTTACTAAAGGATTAGTAAATATGATTACACTTACAAGATTAAGTGTAATTTTGAATTGATTAAAGGGTTTAGATCAATAGTAGAACGAATAAGAAGAATCAAGTAGGCAGAAAGATAAAAGTTTCTCCATTCTAAGAAGAAGGGAGAGTAGCTTTTATGCTTTATGATAGGTCTTAATGATTAAGAACCATATCTCAATTGATCCTCTAAGTGAGTCTTGGTACAATTGTATGTCCAAGAAGAGGAATCAAAGATTGAAGAAATGGTCAAATCAAGAAGTCAATCATACTTCGTTCCAAAACAAGTCTTAAAGTCAAGATTGTGACATTGAGTGAATAGTATTAAGAAGGTTTATAACATTCATCAATTGTGGAAAGTTGTGATGTCTTGGATAAGACAAAGACCAACTAAGACCAAAATTATGAAGTGTTTTGTTTTGATAAAAGCTACACTAACTCTTGAATATTTGTTTGTCAAGAAATGTTTTGATAAGAGAATCGTATATGTCAAGGAGTCAGTGGGAGTCTTAATAGTCTTGAAAAGTTTCAAGAACAAATCAAATAAACCTTATCGATTATCACTAGCACACGAGTTGAGGTTTACAACCTATCGTGAAGACATTATTTTGTTTCTGTGCCAATCCAATCGAGTTAATTATGCATGTGAGTCCTATGAGTACTCATTGAATGCATAAAAGGCAAGGACCTTGATCAATGGAAAGTACATTGATAGGAAAAGGTGAGGTGCTTAACTACTTGGAAGACGTGGTGGGCAGATGTGCTACCATAAGGCAAGAAATCAAGATTAAGAAAGTTCGATCCATATGAGTTTGAATTTGTCGTAAACTTTGGTTTTAACAAATTCACATGGATAGGAACACATACACCGTTTAAATCTAAGTGTCATAAGATTTCCTCCTTCATGAAAATGATTGTGAGAAAATGCTTTCACTAAGAAAGATTTTAAAAGATAGTGATTGTAAAATTGCATTCTCGAATTCGATCATGGTTACGGCATCCCTTTCCATAATTTGAATTGTGAGGTTTGGCAATTAGTCTTAATTGTTAAGACACACATATGAACTATCTAAGGCAAAAGTGTATAAGTTCAAGAAGCCTTGATAAAAGATTATCAAAGCACTAACTATTAGAAACACGAACTTAAGAAATTCAATAAGTATTGTTTTTCTGAAAGTTA